CCATCCCTGGGAGTGTCCAAGGCCAGGCTGGATGAGGCTTGGAGCACCCTGGGCTATGGAAGGTGTCCCTGCCCATGGCACGGGGTGGGACTGGATGGGCTTTAAGTTTCCTTCCAACCCCAACCACTCTGTGATTCTATGATTGTTATGACACTGGATCTACAGCACCTTAAACACTCTCATAAGCATATTCAAGGTGTAAACAATAACGGTCTGTGAAAACAGTACTTGTTTTCCTACCTCACGCATGAAGTTACTGCCTGTTACAGTAATACTTCAGGGCCTTCATGCTGTTCTTGCAAGCATTCAAGTTTCCATCCCAGTGAAGAAAACTATTCATATTATTTTCCATCTTGCTCATACTGCAAGTTATCCCATTCACTCTCCTGAACACAGCTCCAGGAGAAGGGTACTCCACTTAAGATGGCTACACATTAAAGAACATTCTGAAGATAACAGACTAGTAAACTCACTGAGAAGACCTATTTCATTTTACCTGTCAGTTGTGATTAACAGCCTTTGGAGTTTCCTAGGCTTTCTGTCAGCAAAGGCTAAACAGATAACCAGCCTTGATGAGTGTAAAGCAAGCTCCAAGTTGAGATCCTGAGTTTGAAAGACCAGCGCTGGTTACCGACCGCAGCACTGAGTTTGCTGGTTCCATGAACTAATTGCCTTCTAATACAGCTGTAGTTCTTTCTGTTGGCCTAAGTTGCTTTTGTACATAGGCTCTTGGTCTGCTAACTTGCTGCAGAGGTTGTATTTACGGAGGGAAAATATGCAGAAGGGAGAGGGTGCTGGAAACCTGCTGTGCACCGGTCGTGGCAATTCCCTGCCTGTGACTGGCCCCTTTTCGAGCACAAGGAAATGCTGTCTCCAAGGTCATCTGCTGTTGTGTGGGCAGGGGATGGGAGAGGCAGGCAGAGGTGGAAAACTTAGCCAAATGTGTTTTTAACCCAAAGTCATACTATCTTGCTGGTAGGCCAGTTCCGAATCAAACCAGAGATAATGGTTGGGAACTCTCAGGTTGAAGAAGATCCTGTCCCAGCATTTAACTTCTCCCTCTCTGTGTGCTGAAAGAGCTCTTTTGCCATGCTTGATCAGTGTAGAGAGGTTCTCGAATAAAGAACAGTGCTTCCACTACATACTCAATAGATGAAAAAACTCCATTTAGCCCCTCTGAGTACTGAGCTTGGACCTCTGCAATGGTTCTTCTCTGCTAGCATCTCTATCAACTTCAGTGGGACTGCTGACAGAGAGAGCACAGTTTGACCAAATTGAGGGAGACTATGACAACGATTTACTTTTTTTCATGTTTTAACAACCACATACACAGTCCTAAACAAGGAAAAGACTACTCTCTGCCTTACAAAGGCAATTCAGTACTTGTACGAGCAGCAAGTTGGAGTGGTTGGGTGCCAAAAACACTAGAGCACAATTGGCAGCAGACAGATAATTAGTTGCCAGTGAAGCACAGGATGGACCGGGGGTGGACGCAGAAATATCCTTTTGCTTTGGACTGTGTGGCTAGCGCAGACAACACTGTGCTCCCTACACACAGGTCATATGATGGCTGCCATAAGAAAATCAAGTGTCTGCCAGGAGACACCACAGTGAGCCCCCAAATAAGTAAGTTATTTAAACACATGCCTAACTTCCACTATGTGAGCAGTCCCAGTAAAGCACACGTGGGTAGTGAATAGGATTATTCATGTGCTTTAAGCCAAGAACAGGATAAAGTGCTTCACTGAACCCATTTCTTAGCTTCCACTCCAAACTGGCATCTCCTGTGGAAACTGTTGGCAAATGCTGACCTATAACAGTAGCCAATGTAATTTTTGACAAAAGGCATTAGCTCTCTGCTGCTATGAACCCAGAATATTTCTGTAAAGTGCTTTAAATTCACAAAGTTCTTGAAAAGCATGACTTTGGCAATTCAGTGAATAAAGGTTCAGGGAACATTATACCACTCACACTTCACGTGCCAGAACCACTAGGTTCATTCGGTAGCTCTTATACTGAAAATCATCACGAGAAGATATTCTTAACTGGCATGACGATAACAGCAGCTCAAAACTCCGCATCATTCATCCTTTATCCACTTAGGTGGTGCTACTGATACAGACTTCACATTTGAAAGAAACACAAGGAGCAACACAGCAGCAAGAAACTGGCAGCAACAGATTAATTGAACATAAGAATAAAGACCTTATAAATTGTTTTCAACATATATTTTGTAATCAGCTCAACAGTCACACATTAGCTCTAGAAAGCAAATTTTCCAATTTTGCAAATTCTAGGTTCAAAATTGCAAATTTTAGGTGCTATGTATTTAGACCAAGTACAGTTTCTGTTGCTGTTAAAACTAAAAACTAAACAGCATGTGGAGTTTGGTTTAGTTCGTCAGCAAAAGTACAGTCACTTACACAACTCAGGCCAAATGTCTTGGAGAAAACAACTGTGACTCTATACAACTAAAGGTGCCTTGGAGGAAAAACGTATGCACTGACAGTTTGTATAACGCTTCACACTTCTGCACAGCTCTTCATCTTCAGGTCTTAACTGAACAGTCACTGCTGTTCACAATATCGAGTTCTCAGCAGCCGAGCCTGTGGTAGTGGATCTTTTCATTCTCATGACAGAAACAAAACGAAGACTCAACTTCAATAAATCTAAGAAAGAGTTTTATTTTGGAAGTGAATATAAAAATAAAAGTCAAGAAAGAAAGGGCTGTATCTCACTGTCATCTGTAACCCAGCCACAGAGGATGAACAAAATGAAAACAGTTTACAGGCTAATTGGGTTGCATCATGGTGAACATAAGTCAGCCCTCCACCCCCACGATCTCGTCACATCAGCACTACAACCAACACACAACTGCATAAACAGGCCTCACTTTTCCAGATGACCTGTATTTGGCCAAATTTTGCCAAAGA